TATAAAGCAATTTGTGTGATAAAGGTTGCCCATGGCTTGACAGGCCTGACCTGCCCCGGTCACTTTTTCACCGCATGTGTGACAGATACCTGTAGAAAAGTGTCAACATATCCTTTATAATATTGCATTAAAATTACGTAAATACGATTTTTTCGCAGCAACAGAGTCAAGCTCTTGCTACTATTTTTGGGATCATGAAAGTGCCTTGTCAACCATGACTCTATAGTTCGGTCGCATTGGCAGGGTTTAAAAATACCACCGTCGATACCCGACAATAAGATCCGCTCTTCAGGGTCAATAACTGTCAGAAGCACAGAGTAATGACACGATACAGAGGAACCAGTCGGAAGAAAGGCACTTACAACTATCAATGGGTAACACAGGCCCTGCCATTCCCTCCACAGGAATCCTTTATCCCTCATTCGCCGTTCGTGACACTTGTAGTTTCAATTCTACGGTTCGGTTTCACTAGGCCAGTCTCGCTCGAACTAGAATCCGCCAACGAGTCGGACTAGTCTATCTATAACAAGATTACTTACCGCGGCGAGCGCGACCTGGCCACGGTAGTTCGCCGTGTACAGGACGTTACACGAAGAATAGAACTCGTACACAAAAACGAAGAGGAACACTAAGCTCACCTAAACGCCGGCTACCTCTCGACTGACATTGGCTCGCTCGACTGAAGTTCCTATCCGCTCGCGCGGATCTTTCAGTTCCTTGTTGCCTACGGTTAGGCTACGTTCAAATAAAATCTAGACCACTATCCTATGAATAATTCTGAAAATACTGGTTTGAAAAAAAGTACAGGGCCGAATATAGGCATGGCGAAAGCGATTTGCATCGAATGCATGTTTATCTGCATTGATAAGTGTTTCACGGTTGTGTAACCACGCCGGTAGGTAATTTTCAAAGCCATTAGAACGACGAACGCGCTATTAAATTTCTAATATCATTAAATATCTTATAGTCATTAAAGCCAAAATAAGATACCACGGATCTCTTCATCGATTGTACCCCGTTGATTCTACTTCATCGATTGGTATTTTCGTGCGTCTATTATTTAGGGCTCCTGCCTTTGTGTTCGTAAAAGTACTCTTCATTGAAACAGCAAGTAATTGATTACAAAATACAATAGACGTCGACGAAAGTGCCCAATGTGAACACCACCTTACGGTACTCAGACATATACGTAGAATACAAGGGAGAGATGGTAAATGTATGCGTGCACCTAACAAACGCATGTAACGCGCACACTTGTGGCGCTTCACGTAGGTGCGAAGACACGTAGGTGGAAACGAATGGGCAGAGAGTGAATGTCAACGAAACGTCGGGTTAAAAAGTTTCGCGACACACTGAAACTTGACTCCATTTTCCGAAACCGGTCTACCAAGGGGGAACTTGTGCCGTGGGAATTGGCACGGTACCCTGCTGCTTTTTATTTCTTCTCGGAATCGCCGCAAATTATGGATCGGAACGTGTCGAAAATTAAGTCCGCTAATGACGGAATTATGCGAAATCGTCTTATCTTAATCTCTTTAAGGATATTACCAACGTTGTTGGAAAAACAGACGTCGCTATGGCTATGTAAACATCGTGTCAATAGAGATCGTCGGACAACAGGAAGTTATTGCACGGCAGATTTACAGATACAGGAATATCCTCGTGAATGCTCGACGATTGTTTTATGGGTTGTTCTCGATCGTTGTTTCTTACCGAAGTATTCCCCCTCCTCTTCTTGCTTCTCCATCTCCTCTTCCAACTGTCTTGTTAGTTCTTCTATTTTTCTCTCCGCTTCGGTGGGTCCCTGCAAGAAATAAATCACATCCCGCGTTGTGATCAGTACTGACAAATGGTGCCATAGATCGAGAAGGGATTTCGTCATAGGGACACATAAATTTGCATGCGGTTACAATAACACACGAGGGAAAAAGAAGAAAGCCGATACAAAGGGTATTACATGCTTCGCGAGGATGCGTACAGTCTATGAATAAAATATTGTGCGATAACTATACATTGCTTGTCAGGGGCAGACAATTTACAACGTGTGATTCAGCGCGAGTTCGAAGAAAGAACTCGTCACGAATCGTAAGATATCGCGAGCGATAGGCGTTTCTTTTCTCGCGATGCCAAAAGTCGTCGAAACTCGCGTGGTTGTTTCGAATTTTTTTACCAAACCGTGAAAAGGAATGTTTATCTGAATGTTCGAAATAATATTTTCGTCCGTGCAGACCGCTAATCTTATCGTTACATGGGTCAGTCATTATGTAAAATATAAACGATAGCGACTGACATTTATGACATCATCGGTTAAATATGAAAAGCGACACGATCTTTTTCGTAACTTGTTCCTGGCTCTCGGGCAAACACTGCATTACAAAAGATATTCTTTTTCAACGAGAAGTTTAGTAAAAAAATTAAATAGGCATGGTAATAAATTTTACAATCGTTAATGTGTTAGCCGCCATAGCTGTTATATGAAATCAGCATGCAAATGGATCAACGCTTGGCGTTCGGCCAAAACAAATCGAAAGCAACGCTGCGTTCCGGTAACCCAATTAACTGATTACAGTGTTACATTGTGGACAGGTTTCACGAAAGGAAAAAGCATAAGACGAATTTATTAGACATCGACAAGGATTAGTGGATTCATTTTATCTTATAAGCCAATTCCTTACGGAAGGTCTAGGTGGTATGACATTGTAGGGTAGTAATCCTTTGCCAGACGTCGGTTTGATCGGTGGACTGACTGATTTTCTTTCCTCGAGTTCGGGTTCGGATGGCCTTTGTAGTACAGGTACACCGGCATTTAAAAAGACTGGTCCGGCCACACCACTGGTCACCCCTGGAGGGAGACTGGTGATTCTAGGCCCATGAACATTCGGATCAGATTCTGTGGTGGTTGGTGCACCAGTGGTCACTGGTGTTTGTACCTGACCACGTAGAGGGCTTCCAATAATATTGTTTGTTGAAGACGGTGACACGTGTCTTGGTGAATTAATCACGTTTTGTGCGACTATATCGGATGATACTTGATTGTGGGTTGGACTTGTTTTTGGTGACCCCCTTGCACTATTGCTGTTGGCTATAATTCTGGAAGAATCACTACGGCTAGGTGAATATATAGGTGACGGTTTTGATACTTCAGAAGGATCAGGTACATCCTGAACAAAGCTCCTGTCATTTTGCAAATTACTTAATCTTAAGTGTTCTGATGATCTGTTTGAGGAATAAATTGGTGAATTTCTGGCAGGAAATTCTGCTCTAGGTTCTTGATGATGATAATTTCTTTCATTTGGAGGTAACACTCTGCTTGGAGAATAACAAGGAGAATTGCGACAAGCAGATTGCTCTCCTTGCCTCACACCGTAAACAGGTGAGTTTCTGGCCGGAGTGTCTCCAGTAATATTTGCATTTGTACTTCTTGTGGTTGATTCTATATATGGTTTATAACTTTGGGGGCTATCCTGTCGATATTGTGGTTGTTGTATACTTTCTATATGATTTGTGGCTCTAAACCCATGCTGTGCTGTCATTGAACTATCCAGAGAGCCACGGTAATGATGCGGTTCTGGAGGTAAACGTATCGGTGGTGACTCACTGTGATAGGGAAGCCCAGATCTAGGAGAATGTTGCTGCTGTTGCTCAGAATTATAATTAAAATTCCTGGTCGGTGTTTGCAGTTCAGACGGTGGAACATAAGCACTTCTACCAGCTTGATGATCCAAGGACGAAGAAGATCCTTGTAAGTACCTTGATGTAGAGGAATCAATGCAACGTTGTAAACTTGAGCCATCATAACTTTGGCCACGTATATTGTTTCCTCTCTGTTGGGTGTATGACAAACTCTGTGTCATACCACCTCTTTGATTTTGTGCTTGACCCACTTTACCAGTCATGACAACATAATCACCACCATTAATTGTAGCTGGATGATAATAATTTGGTGGAACCTGTGGACCTGGTTTATTTTGCGTATTTTCTGGGAAATGCACCTCCTGAATATTTTCATACACAGGAGGTGCTTCGTATGGTGGTAATTCTTTTGCTGGTGATGCAGATTGATATCGGTTTCCAGTGGGTACCTGTGGTTGTGCTTTTCTAAAAGTAGGTTCATAGGATTCGCTCGCTAAAGAACCTCTAGGACTACTCTTAGGACTCTTTCTAGATTCTACTGGATGATAATACGGTGGATGAGGTTGATTTTGTTGTGGATAGTAGTCGATATTTTCATACACCGGTGCTTGTTGATGACTCATGCGATTTTGATTTTGCTGTTGCTGGGCACTGATTTGCTCCACGGGTTTTGGTGTGGCAAACCTCGATGCAGCAATTATATTTTCACGTTCGTATAATTTGTAATCAGTTACTGATTGTCTGCAAGTGTCAGTACTGCTTTCTATGAAACTTTCAATAGCACCAACTGGTCTACCAGGGCCTCTGGTATCGGATCTGCTTACGGTACTTCTCGACACGGGTACCTGGGCCTCAGGTCGTGATCCCGTGACCCTACCGGTACCCGATGCACCGCCGGCGTCAGCGGGTTCATCCCCAAGTTGCAGATAACCTAGCTTTTGTACGTAAGAATCGTCGGCTGAGTTACACATTGGCAGTGATTCACGGTAGAACGATCGACGATAATAAAAAATACTTTTTGCCTATTGTGCGAAAATTATTCACCGGTATTGTCTAAAGGCAAGATTTCAAAAAAGTCGTTACAAAGCGATTCGACATCGTTCACAAAGCTGAATCAGCCCGGTGGTCGTTATGTCAAATCGATTTCCTTCTACTGGATATACCCAACCCCTTTAACTTGTTCTCACTCACGCTGCTTTTTATGCACAATCGTGGTTTTCTCACGGAACACGACAAAACACGACGCACGTATCGCGACGAAGTTTACTGGACAAAACCAGGGCCGTTTTTCCCCCACGATTTTGGGATACGCCCCGCGATCACGGCGCCTCGAACTCGCGTCTCCTTGTTTCGACTAGCGTCCGTCCACCGGCAGATCTCGGATGTTCGTTCTGCACGAAAAATCACCACCTGCGAAAATTCACACGATACGCACACACATGCACTCCGCACGCATCGTGGTTCGTCAAACCAGATACCTGCGAGACATTTTCCCCTGCTACGAGTCATCCAGATACGGTCTGCGTTGTTATCTTTGTCCACGACGTGGCGCCACGATTACTATACTATCGACTCTGCTTAGGAAAAGTAAGATACCTGTATTCGAAAGCTCGATTCATTCCTCCAACCTCCGTACGAGTCGAGTTGGCGCTGTTGTCGATATAAAATGGAAATCCAGTTGCTGATAAAGTAACATATATCTTTGCTATAAGATATTCCTGTTTTGGTATAATGAAATACCACTTCCTTTATAGAATATCAACTACAGTTATACTGTCCAACATATGTTAACTTTTTCTCTAATCTGTAATATCCAATAGACAATTCTTTTAAAACACGAATCCGTAATCGAAATTGTTCTACCACCCATAGTTTTCGAAAAATGTGAGTTTTTATAAAAAGGTACGATTTTTGTCTAAAATGAAGATTACGTAAAAAATAAGAAGGTTAGGAGGTTCATTATTGTTTTACAAGTTAGGTGAAAATATCCAGAGTTTATCAGTTTCTGTAATTATAATTATTTGTGTTTCTGAGTACCTATAATTGGTCATCGAAGATTTAAAAATAAATTTTCGAGTGTACTTTCTACGCATGTTCTTGAATTTTTATTAAAATTTCTTTATCTGACGCGAATTTACAACACAATAGCATATTCTGAAGGCTTTTGAGAGAAAGGAACCTACCAGGAAAAATATTAGAATGATGTTCAATATACACAGGTTATTAAAATATATATCCACAAATCGTAAATGGAATTTTGCCGCCAAGCAGCCATTGTTCGCACATTTAAATTCATCAGGGTCGTAGTCATGCGTAATGGACACCAAAAACATGGTCTAACTTTTAAGGTGAGAATAAATCCCCTAACATTTTAACTCTGGGTAAATTTTCATTTTAACCAAAAATAGGGAGGAAATAGAAACAATTTGACATACATATTCGTAGCATGGAAACTTATATGTATGAAAATGCGAATGCCAATTTAGTTTATAAAATATATTCTTAAATTATCAAATTTATTATTAATAAGCAATGAATATCGTTAATAACAAATTGTTCACCACGTAAATTTATAACAAAAGTGTAAAAATTAATAAATTACCGCCTATTTCTTGAACTTATGACGTACTTGTGTTAAAATGTACTCATAATTTGAAAAAAGTTTATAAACTAATAACAAATCAATATTGTTAATAACAAATTTTTCATAACGTAAATTTATAATAAAAGTAAAAAAATTAATAAATTACCAGCTAGTACTCGAACATAAAATGTATACGTGTGTTAAAATATATCTATAATTTACAAAAAGTTTATAAATTATTGCACTGATTGTTAATAACAAATTAATATTGTTACTAATAATTTCCTCACAACGTATATTTATAATAACAGTGAAAAAATTAATAAATTATTGCCTATTAAGGCGGAAAAATAATAAATATTGGAATCGGTAAAGTTCAAAAATTTCTGATCAGGGTGGGGGATATGGCCGATCGGTGGCTATATAAGGGGCGACGTGACGCAGCATAACTTATTTGTCAGTTCGACTTCGGAAGTGTAACATCTAAATTTTCTCGTGCGCGAGGGGTGGGAGGTCGAAGTGAGGTCGGGGTTGGCTACCCCTTCCTCACCCCACCCCATTAAACAATTTAATCATT